CATAATCGTTACAACACGTATTATATAAAGTCAAGGTCGGGCTATCTAACATCGTTACAACACGTGTAAGATAAAGTCAAGGTTGAGAGATCTATCATCGTTACAACTCGTATTAGATAAAGTCAAGGCTGAAGTATCCATCATCGTTACGGCACGTGTTAGATAAAGTCTAGGTCGGGGTATCTATCAGTCAAGGTCGAGGTATCCCTCATCGTTACAACACGTTTTAGATAAAGTCAATGTCGGGTTATCTATCATCGGTACACCACGTGTTAGATAAAGTCTCGGTTGGGATATCTATCAGCGTTACAACACGTGTCCGATAAAGTCAAGGTCGAAGTATCCATCATCGTTACGGCACGTGTTAGATAAAGTCTCGGTTGGGATATCTATCAGCGTTACAACACGTGTCACATAAAGTCACGGTCGAGGTATCCATCAGCGTAAGAACACGTGTTATTACGCTGATAGATACCTTGACCTTGACTTTATCTAACAAGTGTTGTAACGATGATGATACCTCGACCTTGACCTTATCTAACATGTGTTATAACGATGATAGATACCTCAACATTGACTTTATCTAACACGTGTTGTACCGATGATAGATACCTCGACTTTGACTTTATCTAACACGTGTTGTACCTATGATAGATACCACGACATTGACTTTATCTAACACGTGTTGTACCGATGATAGATACCTCGACTTTGACTTTATCTAACACGTGTTGTAACGATGATAGATACCTCGACATTGACTTTATCTAACATGTGTTGTAACGATGATAGATACCTCGACCTTGACTTTATCTGACACGGGTTGTAACGATGATAGATACCTCGACATTGACTCGATCTCACACGTGTTGTAATGTAATCGATGCCTCGAACTTGACTTTATCGAACACGTGTTTTAAGGGCGTCGGTACCTTTGACCTTAAGCTTATTTACCACGTAATGTATGCACTGTATTACATGTTTTCAGCGCGGCGGTGACTTCGTCCAGCATGCGTTGTATATCAAATGTGTTTTGAAGGTGATGATTACGAAAAGTTATAGAGAGAGAGTTTTCTTTGGGAACGACAATTTGTTATTTTTTATTGCTGTATTTACCTTTCACAAATAGTTAAATAAATAATTAAATCCATATAGCTAAAACCCTATCATACACGTATCCTGATTGTCGTGTCCATCTGCACCCCTGGAATATGTCATAGCAAAAATTGAATAAAACCTGACCAATATAGACTGATGCCTGTCCTTTGAAGATTTCAAAGGAGAGACACCCGACTTCAAAGCCTGTCAATTTTTACCGTTACGTGACCGCGAGATTCTTTTAAAGTTTATCAAAGGATCGAACTAGTCTTCTTGTCTCATCAACAAGGTGGCACACGCTGAGCCTTCAATTTTGCAATGACATTCCAGGGGTGTAGAGAGCGAAAGTGAGCGTAACCCCTGGATATCGAGGATGTATCGTGTCAGACATACCACGTAACTTTTGCGTCCTGTGTATTCTAACCACCATGTCATACTAGCATACTATCGATTCATACAAACTAACTACATACACCTGATTATGATGACAACATAGTCAAGAAGTCCAATTTCGCTCTCAGATGTGTTGTCTTTAAAAGTAAGGAATGCATTTACCCCTCGATAACCTATACCGCCTAAGATTGAATCAAGGGCAATCTAATAAGTACCGTGAGTGTTTAGTAACTAAGGAAAATTAGAACGATCACAGGATATTCTGAAATTATCAATCAATAGCCATAATAGACGTTTTTCAATCAGATTGTAAACGATTTTGAAAGGAGAGGACGTTCTGACCTGGGAGTGCAGGATGAGTAGTATTATAGAAGCTTAATGTGTAGAACGATATGACAAGGATGCAATCTGCATATAGCGTTATCGGAAATAGATGTAGTGTTATCTGATCTACATATAACAATACTAGCCACAAATGGAAAAAAAACCCACATTGGACCTTAAAGGTACGGTTCCCATAACCTGACCAGGACAAAGCATAATGTTTCGATGACCATGCACTATCTTACAACAAGTGGCGACAATAGCATGGGCCGAGAGTCAGTGAATATCAGTGTAACGTATTGTATTATAAGTGATGATGGCATTACTGAATATAGACATAGGGGGCATATTCGATAAGGAAATGGTTTAGATAAAGTTTAGCGTCAAATAAAATACCATGTAAAATGTGATGAAGTTATTTTTTGCAGACGTAATCCGTATGAGTTACATTTTACATAATTACATTTAATCGAAATTTGAGTAAAATAATAAAATAGGATTGTTAAGGCGTTGACCTACTTCCTGCCGATCTCACTATTTACCCATGTTATAATCAGTGGAAAAATACATATGCACGTAATCAAAATGAAAGAGGTAGCACTCACGTAGTTAAAAATCAATAAAGCAAATTACCAAGTGTAATGAAGAAAATGATTAAAACCTGAGGTTCGTTGTTATCCAAAACTCAAGTTTCATCAGTTATGCCCCTTCAGTAAGTGTTTTGTAATGATATTTAATAACGCAGTAGTCCTATAAATCATGAGATAAAAAAATATAACCCTTTATGTAAATGAAGTTTTGAGCTAGACGGTCGATAGGTGTATCAAACAGATATAAAACGTGACCCGGTCCGGTGACTGTGCTATCAGTAGTGATGCGCAGTAGTCATGTCCTAGATGTAAGATAGGTTTTAGATCAGGTCGCAGTACTTAATGACCAACCTTGTATTGCATGATGGTGTAGACAAAGATCAGGGCAGCCACCAAACTCCATGCTAGTTTAAGTCAATGACTTATTAATTAGTCACCACGCTTACAACACATGTGAGATAATGAGAACGTTATTACCACTTTACAACATAATTGATTTAAAATCAAAGTCGAGGCCGCCACTGAGTGTAAAATCAGCCACCAAACTGTCGTACAACGCATGTTAGACAAAGTCAATGTCATTGTTAAGGCAGCCCACACCATTACACCACATGTTAGACAAGGTCAATGTCATTGTTAAGGCAGTCACCACCCTTACAACACATGTTAGACAAGGTCAATGTCATTGTCAAGGCAGTCACCACCCTTACAGCACATGTTAGACAAGGTCAATGTCATTGTTAAGGCAGTCACCGCCCTTACAACACATGTTAGACAAGGCCAATGTCATTGTTAAGGCAGTCACCACCCTTACAACCCATGTTAGACAAGGCCAATGTCATTGTTAAGGCAGTCCCCACCCTTACAACACATGTAAGACAAGGTCAATGTCGTTGTTAAGGCAGTCACCACCCTTACAACCCATGTTAGACAAGGCCAATGTCATTGTTAAGGCAGTCACCAACCTTACAACACATGTTAGACAAGGTCAATGTCATTGTCAAGGCAGTCACCACCCTTACAGCACATGTTGGACAAGGTCAATGTCATTGTCAAGGCAACCACCACCCTTACAACACATGTTAGACAAGGTCAATGTCATTGTTAAGGCAGTCACCACCCCTACAACACATGTTAGACAAGGGCAATGTCATTGTCAAGGCAGTCACCACCCTTACAGCACATGTTAGACAAGGTCAATGTCATTGTCAAGGCAGCCACCTCCCTTACGACACATGTTAGACAAGGTCAATGTCATTGTTAAGGCAGCCACCACCCTTACACAATGTTTGATAAGGTCAATGTCATTGTTAAGGCAGCCACCACCCTTACACCATGTTAGACAAGGTCAATGTAATTGTCAAGGCAACCACCACCCTTACAACACATGTTAGACAAGGTCGATGTCATTGTTAAGGCAGCCATCACCCTTACAACACATGTTAGACAAGGTCAATGTCATTGTCAAGGCAGACACCACCCTTACACCATGTTTGACAAGGTCAATGTCATTGTTAAGGCAGCCACCACCCTTACAACACATGTTAGACAAGGTCAATGTCATTGTTAAGTCAGCCACCTACCTTACAACACATGTTAGACAAGGTCAACGTCATTGTCAAGTCAGCCACCACCCTTACACCATGTTAGACAAGGTCAACGTCATTGTTAAGGCAGCCACCACCCTTACAACACATGTTAGACAAGGTCAATGTCATTGTCAAGGCAGCCACCACCCTTATGACACATGTTAGACAAGGTCAATGTCATTGTCAAGGCAACCACCACCCTTACAACACATGTTAGACAAGGTCAATGTCATTGTCAAGGCAGCTACCAACCTTACAACACATGTTAGACAAGGTCAATGTCATTGTCAAGGCAACCACCCCCCTAACAACACATGTTAGACAAAATCAATGTCATTGTCAAGGCAGCCACCACCCTTACAACACATGTTAGACAAGATCAATGTCCACCCTTACAACACATGTTAAAAGGTCAAGGTGACCATTACATCCGTTAAACCAATGTTAGAAAATATCAAGGTCAAGGCAGCTATCTGCTGTTTTGTGTTTGTTAGGGTCGAGGTCAGGGTTTATCATTTATAACACTTGTTAGTTATATGGAACTGTGGAATTTAAACCATATGATGGGCTTTTTATATTACATAATTTCCCGTCATATAAACAATATCGTGTTCTGCAAATAAATGATACATTCATTTTGTAAAGTTTATTGATAAAATAATGTTTTAAATTAACGTTGAGACTGGCTACCTTAATGAAAAATAGCCATCGTGAGTGCCACGGAATTAGATTAGTCCGTGGTTAGGCTGAACTGTTTTAATTAATTACAAAGTTTCCATATTTCAATGTAATCCATTTCCATGTCTCAAAATTCTAAAATTTGATACATTTTTATAGGTCATGTATTTTTCTTAGGATTGTTAATAATATTGACAGAAAATATCCCAATATATAATCATATAAACACACGGAAAGCTTGTCATACCTTGAAACTTATTGCACTTCGCTTCTCCAGATTTTTTATATCACCGATCGCGAGGATAATCCTAGAAAGTATCCGAATGCTTTCACGTGACACCCACAACAAACAGACTGCCTTGCAGCCTTCAGCGTTTGAAGCTGCCAGCAGAAGACGCCTTTTACGAAGATGTCAGCTCAAACCAAATTGGGGAGTTCGGTGCAGTGTCCTGTGTGTCATGTCAGGTACTAAATTAATGGTGTAATTAACTTGTTAGGGCGCTTCATTACACCTGTACAAAGCACAGGTACTCGTCTGTTTATATTATGGGTGTATTGACAGATGAATGGGGTGACCCAAATGAGTGTCCAGGGAGTTTTTCTTGCGCCCAGGAATTCGTAATTTAACTTTTTTTACTTTTTTCTTCTGATTCATAAATATTATACACTTACCTAGTGCCTAGTTGTATGCAGAATTTAATGTTGATCGTAGAAGTAGAAAGATAAATAAGAGGAATGAGTGTCCAGAGAGATATCCACGCGCCAAGGTATTCGTTCATCGATTGTTTTCCTTTTTTTCTCCTAGTTCATAAAAAGTATACACTTTTCTAGGTTTGCAAAATTTCAGGTCGATCTTAACAGTAGAAACACGGACTTAGATAATCTAATTCCGTGGTAGAAAGTACCGAAATACATCGATAAATAAATATTATATTTACGAGGGAGGATAGTCTGAATTATTCTGCGTTTTATCGACTTTTTTCATATCGTTCTGTCGTCGATTAACCATTAACGATGTTAATCCATGACAGACTGATATGAAAAAGTTGATAAAACGTCAGAATAATTTGGACTAGAGGGAGGAATGAGTGTCCAGGGAGGAATGAGTGTCCAGGTAGGTTTTTGCGCGGCCAGGAGTTCAATGATAGATTTTTTTACTTTTTGTCTTCTGATAAATAAATCATATTCAATTACCTAGGCATGTGCAAAATTTTAGCTCGATCGTAATAGTGCAAAGCACAGGGGCAAGGCTCGCTTAATTTGTAATATTAAAAAATAGTGGTCTCCTCTACTAAAAAAACCCCGTATTTTAGTAGAGGAGACCAGGATTTTTAATATTACAAATAAAGCGATCCATGCCCTGTGGTGCAAAGTACCGAAATAGGTCGATAAAAAATGTGCAAGCTATATGAATTAAAGGGAAGTAACTCGCACCTGTAAAACTCTCAGCCGTTTTTATACATAATAAGAATGCTACCAGGCTCTTTGACTCTTCAACTACATAAGAGCCCATTTTATTCATAAATTTATATTTATAACACCATGTAATAAATATTCCTTATCAATAGAATTTGTTTTAATTTTTTTTTTATTATTTCCGTCTCTAATTAATATATTTTCATAGTCATATACAAAAGTAAAAAAAATGATTAACAAATTCCTGTGCGTGCGAAAATCTCCCTGGACACTCATTCCTCCCAAAAAGGCATCTTTATCGATGTATTTCGGTACTTTCTACTGTTACGTTTGACATTAAATTTTGCATACAGCTAGGGAAGTGTATAAATGTATGAATCAGAAGAAAAAAGTAAAATAAGTTAATAACGTATTCCTGCGAAATCCTTCCTGGACACTCCCTGGACACTCATTAGGGTTATCGGATGAGTGAACTAAGTAAGATAGACGACATAAACAAACAGCCTGTACTGTTTCCTGTACCCAGGTCCACAAATGTTTGGATGCGACATTTGTAATGGATAGTTTCATCAAAATTATTTCATTTAGATGTAGTGACCCGCTGTTTATAAATTAATTGAGATAGCTTTCCTGAAATAACAGGCGGTCTCAGCTGGGGTAATTACATAAACTTCACTGTAAACAAAACCTTCAAAACCCTGGTGTACCAGACATCTATCTGTCAAAATGTCCTAGTCTGATGTCGGGACCCAGAAGAAACTTGGGCTATATGAGTTAGGCCTGTACATGCAGGGATCAATTCCATGAATATACACTTTAAAAAGCAATTTACTATTGGGAAGGGTGGGGGATGCAAATGAATGAAGGAAAAGCCATATAGATTTTCCAAAGCTTCAACTAATAAATACCACAAATTGATACTAAATAAGAAAAATATTCGCATGGAGTTTGTCTATCTGTCTTTTAACCTAGAATCTGTGTAACTCTACCTTTAGTTACTGTTAGGCACAATGGTTAATCCCATCTTTTTAGTTGTAGAGAGTTACAAGGTTTGATTTGTAGTCTAGACTGCTGTTATTCTGACTGAGTTTGATATTTCTACCTCCACAGTCATCTACCACAACAGAAAGATGTCAAGAGTGGAGTGTTCGCAGCAACATGTCAGAACTGTGGACACTTCTTCAAATTCAAGGTGGATTCTGGATTGGCAACAGAGGTGACACTGACTGTCAATGGACAGAAATACACAGGTATACTCAGGGCTTAATTGGTTATAGTTACATGAGGAATGAAAATTTAACCTAGTATCTATGTAGATGATGAAGTCTGGATTAAGGAATGGCAGTGTGGAGATGGAGGTAGTGGGTTTAATAGTGGGGATACAGTTGGTGACGCTATGAGAGGAGATGGAGGTGTTTGGGTTAAGAGTGGGGATACAGTTGGTGACCCTATGAGAGGAGATGGAGGTGGTTGGGGTTAAGAGTGGGGATACAGTTGGTGACCCTATGAGAGGAGATGGAGGTGGTTGGGGTTAAGTGTGGGGGTACAGTTGGTGACTCTATGAGAGGAGATGGAGGTGGTTGGGGTTAAGTGTGGGGATACAGCTATGAGAGGAGATGGAGGTGTTTGGGGTTAAGAGTGGGGAAACAGTTGGTGGCGCTATGAGAGGAGATGGAGACCCTATTAGATGAGATGGAGGGGGGTGGGGTTAAGAGTGGGGAGACAGTTGGTGACGCTATGAGAGGAGATGGTGGTGGTTGGGGTTAAGAGGGGGGAAACAGTTGGTGACTCTATGAGAGGAGATGGGGGTGGTTGGGGTTAAGAGTGGGGATACAGTTGGAGACCCTATTAGATGAGATGGAGGTGGTTTGGGTTAAGAGTAAGGATACAGTTGGTGACCCTATGAGAGGAGATGGAGGTGTTTGGGGTTAAGAGTGGGTATACAGTTGGTGACTCTATGAGAGGAGATGGGGGTGGTTGGGGTTAAGAGTGGGGAAACAGTTGGTGACCCTATGAGAGGAGATGGAGGTGATTGGGGTTAAATGTGGGGATACAGTTGGAGACCCTATGAGATGAGATGGAGGTGGTTTGGGTTTAGAGTAAGGATCCAGTTGGTGACCCTATGAGAGGAGATGGAGGAGTTTGGGGTTAAGAGTGGGGATACAGTTGGGGACCCTATGAGAGGAGATGGAGGTGTTTGGGGTTAAGAGTGGGGATACAGTTGGAGACCCTATGAGATGAGATGGAGGTGGTTTGGGTTTAGAGTGGGGAAACAGTTGGTGACCCTATGAGAGGAGATGGAAGTGGTTGGGGTTAAGAGTGGGGATACAGTTGGAGACCCTATGAGATGAGATGGAGGTGGTTTGGGTTTAGAGTGGGGAAACAGTTGGTGACCCTATGAGAGGAGATGGGGGCGGTTGGGTTTCAGAGTGGGGATACAGTTGGTGACCCTATGAGAAGAGATGGAGGGGGTTGGGGTTAAGAGTGGGGATACAGTTGGGGACCCTATGAGAGGAGATGGAGGTGTTTGGGGTTAAGATGGAGGTGGTTGGGGTTAAGAGTGGGGAGACAGTTGGTGACGCTATGAGAGGAGATGGAGGTGGTTGGTGTTAAGTGGGGGGATACAGTTGGTGACCCTATGAGAGGAGATGGAGGAGTTTGGGGTTAAGAGTGGGGATACAGTTGGGGACTCTATGAGAGGAGATGGAGGTGGTTGGGGTTAAGGGTGGGGATACAGTTGGTGACCCTATGAGAAGAGATGGAGGTGGTTGGGGTTAAGTGTGGGGGTACAGTTGGTGACTCTATGAGAGGAGATGGGGGGGGTTGGGGTTAAGAGTGGGGATACAGTTGGGGACCCTATGAGAGGAGATGGAGGTGTTTGGGGTTAAGATGGAGGTGGTTGGGGTTAAGAGTGGGGAGACAGTTGGTGACGCTATGAGAGGAGATGGAGGTGGTTGGTGTTAAGTGTGGAGATACAGTTGGTGACCCTATGAGAGGAGATGGAGGTGGTTGGGGCTAAGAGTGGGGATACAGTTGGAGACCCTATGAGGTGAGATGGAGGTGGTTGGGGTTAAGAGTGGGGAAACAGTTGGTGACCCTATGAGAGGAGATGGTGGTGGTTGGTGTTAAGAGTGGGGATACAGTTGGAGACCCTATGAGATGAGATGGAGGTGGTTTGGGTTTAGAGTAAGGATCCAGTTGGTGACCCTATGAGAGGAGATGGAGGGGGTTGGGGTTAAGAGTGGGGAAACAGTTGGTGACGCTATGAGAGGAGATGGAGGTGGTTGGTGTTAAGTGTGGAGATACAGTTGGTGACCCTATGAGAGGAGATGGAGGTGATTGGGGTTAAGAGTGGGGAAACAGTTGGTGACTCTATGAGAGGAGATGGAGGTGGGTGGGGTTAAGAGTGGGGATACAGTTGGTGACTCTATGAGAGGAGATGGAGGTGGTTGGTGTTAAGTGTGGGGATACAGTTGGTGACCCTATGAGAGGAGATGGAGGTGTTTGGGGTTAAGAGTGGGGATACAGTTGGTGACCCTATGAGAGGAGATGGAGGTGGTTGGGGTTAAGTGTCGGGAAACAGTTGGGGACCCTATGAGAGGAGATGGAGGTGTTTGGGGTTAAGAGTGAGGATACAGTTGGTGACTCTATGAGAGTAGATGGAGGTGTTTGGTTGTTAAGTGTGGGGATACAGTTGGGGACCCTATGAGAGGAGATGGAGGTGTTTGGGGTTAAGAGTGAGGATACAGTTGGTGACTCTATGAGAGTAGATGGAGGTGTTTGGTTGTTAAGAGTGAGGATACAGTTTGGGACCCTTTGAGAGGAGATGGAGGTGGTTGGTTGTTAAGAGTGGGGATACAGTTGGTGAGGTGATGAGAGGAGATGGTGTTTTGTTTGGGTTAAGATTGAGGTTGGAGGTATTAGAGTTCATGTTGTATGCCAGGAAAGAACTTCAACAACTCCAACAATTTTCTAGCTCACCTTGGGGTCTGTAATGTATAGAACAATTTAAGCGTCGTCCGTTAACATTTTACATTTCAAACTTAAAGTCAAGTTCTGCTGGGCCTATTGAACTGAAAGTTGGTAGGAATGATCGCCTCATGGTCTTGACAAAGTGTTGTTATTTTTCGGGTCGATCAAAAATCCAATATGGCCGCCACGGCCGCCATTTTGAAAACCTATTTCAAACTTAAAGTCAAGTTCTGCTGG